TCTATTTAACTTTCTAAACCCACTTATACTCGTTTATTACTACCCATAAAACTGACCCCTAACCCTAAAAAAAGCTAAAGAAATCGTCTTAAAAATTAGTTTTTTTCGGTAGCTTGTCTATTTTATTTTATGCAAATTTCATTTTAATCTGCCACAGTTATTATAAAATAGATAAACATATATTCTGATAAGTATCTAGTCACTGAGAAGTCTCTTAAATTTCATAAATTAGATCATCAAACAGAGAAATATTATATGGTTATTCAGTATGCAAACAGTGGAAATCTTGAAAATTATTTAAATGTCCATTTTTCAAAATTAGATTGGACAACTAAAATTAGAATGACAAAAGAAATCTCTAGCGGGATTAATTATTTGCACAGTGCTAATATTGTTCATCGGGATCTTGTAAGAGACTTAATTTCTTTTTATGATTATTTTTTACTTATTATTAACATACCGGAAAATATTGATAAAATTTAGCATGATAAAAATATATTAGTACATAATGGTAGAATGATTATTACAGACTTTGGTTTATCCAGGATTTTAGATGACAACAATACAGAATATATTGAAATGGAAGTATTTGGAAGGCCTCAATATTTGGATCCCAAATACCTCGAAAAACCGGAAAATTATGAATGGAACAAGTATTTCGATATATATAGTCTTGGTGTTCTTTTTTGGGAACTGTCAAGTGGCGTACCTCCTTTTATAGCTGAACCAATAAAAACAAAATTTTTATTGAGCATAATTAAAGGTAAACGAGAAACTCCAATTGATGGAACTCCCATTGATTTCAAAAATCTTTATGATGCTGCTTGGGACGGTGAACCAGTTAGTCGTCCTGATATTAGAGAAATTTGCAACAAGTTAGATCGCATGCAGTTAGAACCAGTTTATAAGCAGGTGTTTTATTGCTCTTTTATTAAATTTTTCAAGAAATGTAATTGCTGAATTTTCCAAGTCTTCAACTATACTAAATTATTAGAACAATTTCCTAAATTGCCAGATGTAAGTTTGAGCTTATATATTTATTTTTGTTTGCCCAATAGATTAATGCTAACTAAGCAACTACATCAATTATTAGGACGTAAATATAAGCTTTATCATAGAAATTTGTTATATTAATTCTTAACCATAACTTAGCTATCAAATAATTTAATTTATGTACCAGTCCTATTACACCTATTACTATCATGTGAGTATAAGATCGATTAGCCATATTCAGAATGCAATAATTTGTTGGAGCTAAATAATAATATTTCAATTACCAGCCCGTGAGTATAGCATTAAATTAAAATTTTGCAAAAAATTGAAGTAATATTTGTCGTGGATCATGAAATCGGATTAAATGAAATGAGAGGTTTCTATTTGCCCCCTAAAACCCACTTATACTTGTTTATTATAAAACCTACTCCTAAACTCTAATCTTAACCCTAAAAATGCTAAAAAAAGTGCATCCCAAAAATTTATATTTTTCGGTGGCTTGTCTATTTTACACTATCTCTCATTTCATTTTAATCTGATTTCATTTTAATTCGTCACAATATTTAAACGATTACATTAACGTAAATTATATCAACTTTAGGTTGTGAGTTTAATATTGGCTTCATATTTTCATTCATAATAACTTGTGCTAAACCATACTTTAAATGATTACATCAACTATCAGTGATAATATGCAAGAGTAAGTATCAATTAGCTGCATTTGCCAGAAATGTTTCATTATGTAAATTCACAAATATGATTTATATATATAATTGCCTAATATACCAAATTAAAAAAGAATGTGAGTATTAATTCGGTTATTTGTATTTATTCTTTAAATTAAATCTAAGAATTTGTGCTAAAAATTCGGTCGATTCAATTAACCACAGTTTGTGAGTAAGATGAAATAATTGCATATATTTGTTAGACCAAATTTTACTACGAACTATAGACGCAACTAATTACATAAAATGTTTAAATTAGCAAGTAAGCATGATCATTGATAATTTGCATTCGTATTTCTAACTTTTAAATCAATTTTCAAATTAATACTGAATAATTCTTTTTATGGCGGCCGTATAAATGATTGCCAGCGAGTGAGTATAAATTTAATCATGAATACTACATTAATTTACATGCTATCAGTCAAACTATTAAATAAATAACATCAAGATTATGCGGACAAATATAATTTGAAAACTTGATAAAGTATAATTATTATTTTTAATCGGATTCTAAATAACCCTTGTAATTATTGTATATTAGTGAGTGAGTATAAAGTTCAATTATGTAAATCCATTTTTGAATCCGAATATCAAACGAATGTATAAATTATATCAACAACTAGAATGTAAGTAGGTCGCTTGATTACGCCATATTCATTATTTTTCCATTGAATTGTTTCTAAAGAATGCTTTCAATAATTTATGTCACCTACTAGGAGGTAAGTTAAATTACGCATGTCTCAGAATATGAAAATTAGCGTTAGACTCTAAATGATCTACTACTAGTGATTGAGTGTTATTTTATATTCATTTATCAAATATATAAAGCTTTAAATAAATTTATAAATATCACTTTCTACAGTCGGCAAGTATCGAATAGAATTCACGATTATGTAAATTCAAAAGTTGTACATTGATGATAAATAATACTTCATCGAATATATAACTATCAGAGAGTAAGTACTAAGTTGGGTTGCTTAATACTTATTTAGTAGAATTCTAAGATTTCTAATTTCATTCATAAACTATCAGGAAGTAAGTTAGAATATAGACGTTAATTTGTCAAAAATTAGAGCGAATAATAATTACTACAAAATTATATAAATCCTAGAATGTAAGTCCAAATATATGCCAAAAATTTGCTAAATTAGAATATTATATTAATATTCATACTATTATAAATTATAAGAGAGTAAGTATAAAACTATTACATGCACATTATATAAATAAGGTTCACAATGAATTATACTTCAAAAAAAATTGGTTAAATTATATCAATTACTAGGAAGTAAGTTGGAATAATTTTTATGTCCATGAATCTACAATAAATCACTCATAAATCATAATTTAATTATTAGGTTGTGAGTATAAAATTCACTATTTAAAATCAATTTAAAATAAATGCTAAATAAATAATTATCAATTGATGCAGAAAGTAAGATTGAATAGCATTTATTCAATTAGAAACTGACTCCAAATCGATGCTAAATAATGCTTTAAAATCTTGATCATCAGAGCGTGAGTATAAAATTCGATTAATAATTAATTCATAAACAAAATGTATAATTAAACAATGTATAATTTGCGTAAATTTTATAATAGATTGTGAGTATAAATTTTGGTCTTGCAAGTACGTTTACTCAATTATTTAATTCTAATAATTTTTTAAATTATAAATACGATGCATTATATTAACAAAGTTTGTAAGAAGTTCAGTTTGTTACACATAAATATTTTCAATCAAATTTAACAGTGTTTTATTTTTATCTTTAAATATATAAATATCAGAATGTAAGTTTTGACACTTTATATTGATTTCAAAATTTGTAATATATTATTAAATAAATGCTTTAAACCATTTAAAACATTAACAACCAGGGGGTGAGTATTAAGTTTGATTCTCAATTTGTTAAATCATGACTTTAAACCGTTTAGTGTCGCATTAAATTATAATTAATTACTTTAATTTACCAGAAAGTAAGCATAGAGATCAATTATATATTAAATTTTGTAAAATATGTTAAAATCATATCAATTATGTATAATAATTTATTAAATTTGTAAAATATATTAAAATAATATCAATTACAGATGGTATGAAAAAATACTTTTTTGTATAATCAGAAATTTGAATAAATTAGTGCTAAATTAATTCAAATCAATTATACTAATTACCAGGGAGTGAGTTTGATGTTCTCTTAGTCTTTCACGGTGAATTTTTACTAATTTATAATTACATAAATTGTATAAAGTACTACTCATTGAGTATAAAGTTTTATTCTTATATTCTCTTATTAAATAGAATAATATTTAATGACCTGTAAATTATATTAATTATCAGGTGAGTATAAAGTCAGTAGTTAATAAATCAAAATTAATCCATGATTTAATGCTAAATAAAATTGCAGTGGGTGAGTATAGAAATGAACGCATATTTAATTAATAAATTCTCAAATTTTAACTACATTTTTGTATTGCAGAAAGTATGTTTGAGCATATTTCATTTTCTAAATCTATTGCAGATGGTTCATTAAAATTTATACTAATAATAATACTTCAAATGATTAAATTGACATTAGAAAGTAAGTATTGAATTCGATATCATACATTCGTTTATTAAATCTAAAATTTCATAACCATTTAATATCAATTTATAGCGCGTAAGTATAAAGTTGAATTTAGTAAGACCTCCCTAAGTGCACCCCCTCGGGACCATAGTCAAAAAAAGGCAAAACGTGCACTTAAATAGTGAATGCATTTATATTTAGCTATGTTTATATAAGTACATTATATTATTATATCAATATATTTATTAAAACTGATTATATTGCTTTAAAAACACTATATTACATAGTATATATGTTTCAGATATTAGGTGCATCTCAAATTAACTGTTTTTATTATATTTACTGTTGTGTAGTTATCTAACTACCCTTGGCTTTACTTTAATTCATAGGTTTTTTCATGCTTGGCTTTTTCTTATACCAGTATATTGTTTAGGTACTAACCACCAAAGCGAAGACAATGCAGTATACACAGTTCTTTAATTAAAGGTTGCTTTAGAAAACCTAATTTGTCTATTTAAACTTGTCTAGTCGATTCCCTTAAAGGATCACAACCTTATTTATTAATTATTATTGCATTACTGATTATATGGATTAGACTCAAATTAATAATTACAGATTATGCAAAATCTGATCATGTCATCTATGATCATATTACACCAACCGATTACATAGGGTATCGAAATTTACCATGATATGAGCTAAACCTCCCTATACTTCATCTCTGAAGTACAAATTCTACCAACACCTCTAAATTTCCAAACTCTTTTCAACCACTTCTTACAAGAAATCTCTAGACCATCCTTACCTATAGTAGGTATTCCATATTTACTAATGATTTCTATCATCTTTTTAGATACTACCTCACTAACAATACCCTCGATTTTATCATTCACTTTAACACCATCACCCACAACTGTGTCACATTTAATCTGTTCAATATCAACATCTTTCATTTTGGCATCAACATCATATTCTATTTCATACTTTTCTATATATCGTTTTATAGTCCACCACTAGCAACAGAAAACCAAGAAATCTACAAAAACAGATACAAACAGCATCAGCCTATTATGATCAACATTCATAGACCTATGTTGTAGAACCTTCATACATTCACTCTTTTCAATTTCTATTCCATTTCAATTACAATAACTATTATTATCCACTTCATCAGCATTTTTCATTTCAACAGCTTTGACCTTTTCGATTTTCCTATTACAACTTATATCAGCGGGCTCCTGAGGATCATTAAATACCTCATGTTCATTGATTTTAATTTCAATGCCATTATAGCAACAATATTCGAACTCATATGTTCTATTAGCACTATTCAATTCTGTTGATTTTTGATCATTAATAGATGCTTTGCATTTATCCCTTTTAACTACAATTTCATTTTCATAATAATAACTGAGATTGCTCATTTCACCATTAGGTTTCATCACACTTCCAATACCATTTTGGTTACAACATCTGGGTTCATATGCTTTATCAGCATTATTTATTTCTGCTGATTTTTGATAGTTAATAGATGCTATATATTCAACCTTTTCATTAACAACTCCATTTTGATAACAATAACCTAGATCGCCTTTTTCATCATCACGACCCATCTCACTTTCATCAACTTCAACACTTTTTTCATATCGAAGACAATAGTAATTATCATTAGAAACTCTTTTGATAAGCTTTATTTCAGATATTTTTTGATAATTTCTGAACGCCTTATATTCAACTCTTTTAATTCCAATATCATATTGGTAACAACATCCAAGTTCATGACTTCTATCAGCATAACCCATCTCAGCTGACTTTTGATAATTAATGAATGCTAAATGTTCATCTTTTTCAAGACCGATTCCATCTTAGTCACAATTTCCAAGATCATATATACTACTAACATGATTCATCTTTGCAGATATCTGATGAAGGATATATATATTATGATTGTCCTTTTTAATATCATTTTTATAGCCTCCATAATTTATATCTAATAGCATTTGATCGATCTCAGCTTCCATATCATCCAGCCAACAATTATCTATTTTGACGATTGTATCATCAATTTTCTTAGCATCTTCAGGTATATTATAGCATTTTTCATTTATTTCACATACCCAGTTTCCATTATTGCTGAAATATACATTCATTACATCATAGGTCATAGTAGAGTCACTATTCAAAACATTATTATTCTTTTTGACTCCAATTGCAGGTATGTCTTTTTTTTCAATTTCTATTTCTCTTGTTTCAGCATTAACATCTTCTAACTCACTATTGTTTAATTTTACTTCTCGTACATTTTTTGATCATCTTCAGCTTCAACTATCAATGTGAAATTCTTTGTTTCTTCATATGTCATTGGACACATCATTTCAACCTCTCATTGGTATGATTCTTTTAATTCAAATATAAATCAGAACATCTCTTCATAATCGCAAATCGCATGTCTTATCAGTGCAACTTCTATTTTATAATGGTAAGTATACATCAATACAGATTCATCTTGTTGCTATATTTGCATTAGAGGTTAATCTTTTCTTCTACTTCCACAACTCCTTTAATTATTGCCTTCTTCAAACCGTACCATGTATTGCATGCTTTGATCATCTTGCACAACCACAGCCTTTGATTCTTCGACATGTACAATACAACCCTCTTTTATTTCACATTATCATTCCACCTTTTTAATTT